CAATTAATAAAGCCTTGAAATATTATTTAACGTATAATTTATTTTTATTAATTTATTGTAAAAATATAATGTTTTTTATCAAAATATAATTTCTGACATAATTGGAAGAAACAGTACTCAAAGTCATTAAGTAATCATTTATTTTAATTGCCAATTATTTTGCTCTAATCTATAATTATTTTTATTCTTATGATAATTATTACGATATTTTTGTTTAATAATTACTATTATTTAAAATATTATTTCGGAAATTTTTTTATACAAATAATTATTAAATTAAAAAACTTTAGCGAATAATCAATTAATTCAAGGCAAGAGATATGCTCTTAAGATTGCATAAGATATACGGCTCAGTACTCAGTAATTGATTAAAAAATAAATCATTAATCGATGCGTTTATAATTATAATTGCAGTAAATCATGTTTGTAATCAACAAACGAAGTTGTAAACTGAAAAGGTATGTATTGTTATCAAAGGGCATAAAAAACAAGGGCCGCACCAATCCATAGACTTTACTGTTAATCATATACGGATGTTATCAACCAAAATGAGTGAATCGGCCGACACTTTACACAAACTCTGCTGTATACTGTATAATATGCTACAATTCTATCAACAAATTGAAGTTAACCACCAATTAAACTATAATAAAGGCGTTGATTATTACTTAACTATTACCACAAATTGCTGATTGCAAAATGACTATTATATTAAGACATTTTCTCATATAAATTATCAATAATAATATTAATCTATTAAATAATATTTCTATTCTATATGTAAATTAGATGAAACAATCAATGAATTTTAAAATTAAAATATGATTAATATTCTTATATAAAGGGCGCAGATATGGTTGAACTGGATGTCCAGTTATCCAAAGATAAAGTACCCATTGTTTACCACGACTTCAATGTCAATATCATTATGAAACATGTAATCTATCAATGAATCCAATTGTTTGAATGATTTATTAATTCGTAACAAAACTTTACAAATACAGAAGAAATCGAAATTAAATTCTGGCGAACCCTCGACAGAGGTTCACACGATGGCCATCAAAGACCTCACTTTCAAACAACTTCAAAGTTTACAGGTTTGTGTTGACTATCATTATGTCATAAATTATATCATTTATAATTACTAAATGATTCCTTTAATTTCTTTGAAATCTACAGTTGAGTCCTGTTATCAAAGGTTTGTTTCAAAATATTTCTATTTTTATAACTATTGAGATATTAATCGTGTGATTATTTAACATTTGGACAAACATATAAATAGTTTTTTTATTGAAAAGCGAACAAAACATTCTATGACTTCGGCGAAGAGGACCAGACGGAAGAGAACCTCCCGTTCGCCAGTCTTGAGAAAGTACTCGATTTAGTGGATCCCAAGTGTGGTCTCAATGTGGAGCTCAAATATCCGCAGCAAAAAATTGTAAGTATTTCTCTCAATGTTTGCCATCGTTTGACTTTTTACTAAAATCATAATATTATGTCCAAAAGTGTGGTCAATGGGAGGCCGAGAAGACATTGGATCTGAACGAATACGTGGACATAATTGTGTCGACTGTGTTCGCGAAGGCCGGCGCCCGCAATATTGTCTTCTCTTGTTTTCATCCGGATATCTGTTCCCTGTATTTAACATTCAATACCCAATTATTTTTGTTATAATTTAATGGCTCTTATTATTAACGACTAATTGTTTGGACTAAAGGCTCAAATATAAACAAAGTCGATATCCAGTGCTGTTTCTAACGCAAGGGCTGACGAAGAAGTGGCAACAGTTCAAAGACAAACGCAACGCTTCCATAGAGATGGCCGTATACTTCGCGCAAAGCGTTGGTCTGGAAGGCGTTAACGTTCACGCGGAGGACATTATCAACGATCGGTCGCTCATTGGGTTCGTTAAGTCGAAAAACATGATACTCTTCTGTTGGGGCGATGACCTCAACCGCACAGAACTGATCGCCGAACTCAAGGAACAGGGCGTCGATGGAGTCGTTTACGACCGGCGAGTCTTTTCTAATGAATGGCTATATTTTGAGTTTCAATTACTAATGATATTCTCATTTCATTATAGGATCGATATTTTGTGCGGAAAGACACGATCGTTGGTCACATCTCCTAAGCAATTGTTTTGAGTGTAGTCTCGGTTTTAAACAATTTCTCAACTATTGGCTTATGTTTAGGGTTTTTTACAAATATCTAAATAATTAAATCATGGTTTAATTCCAATCAACTATAATATATTTACTTATAAATACTAATTCCTGTATAAAATTATATTTCTACGATTTTAAACACATTAATAAAGATTTTAGACATATATAAAAATGGTATTAAAATATTTATTAAGATATCTTTTATAGATTTACAGATTATATACCGGTATTTAAAACAACAAAATAAATACATAGAATAAGGAAATATGAATATAAAAGCATTAGTAATACTCCAGTAATTAGAGGTAAAAAGAAAGTAAAAATGGATTAAATATCTTAACGACGAGATCGTCTGTAAAAAATAGAAAATATAAATAAACGTTTGAATACATAAATGGCTAAACAATGACTTACTTGGAAAAGACCGGATGGTTGTGGAGCTCAGCCGATGTGATCACTTGATTGGGAGGCATTGCGGGCGAGAGGAGTCGAGTGTCGCTTTGGGTTCGTTTCCTATAAATAAGTCAACAGAATTTGAGATTTATTGCAAAAAAAGTGACAAAACAAACAATTGGTGCCATACCTTTGGGGAGGAGAGCCCTGCTTTAGGGTCTCGACATCGTTGAAGATAACTTGGGCGCCGCCGGTGGCCGACGGAATCACTTCTCCCTTAAACACCTGAGTCTCGACCTGTCCGTTGCCGTCCGCCTCGTGGTGTGTGAGCGCATACATCGACGCCCCCTGAATGTCGGATGACTTCAAATTGGAGACCGATTTCTTGTTCTTGATCTTTGGCCGCAAAACAGTGCCCAACTCTATAGTGCCGGGCGGTCTGTGATCGATCCACTTCTCGTTGCCCGTCGATAGCGAGCGGCGGTGCCGAGGGTTCGACACCGGCGGCGGATTGTGTACGAGAGTGGCCGCGTCTCCGCCCAGACTACCGACCGTTTGCGGTGTACTATTAGTGGCCAAATCGTACTCAGACTTACGACTCCTGAACGCTTGTTGCGGTGTCTGAGTGCTCGCCTGACTGTCAACGCCTCCCCCATTGGACGGAGCGCTGGGAGCGCACGACTGCCTGAGCGCCGAATGCGACGGCTGTGCCAACAGGTAATCCTTGTAGTAGTCGTCGGCATTAGTGTCGGCGTTCAGTATTTGCTTAACTAAATTCATTTTGTCTTTGGCCACACACTGTTCTCTTTCCAATTGGCTCTGTTTCTCGGCCAGAATCCGCTCGAACACAGTCTTCAGGCGTCCCCTCTCCGAGTCGAGCCGTTCTCTCATTTTGGCTTTCATGCGCTCCTTCTCGAGCTCCGATTGACTCAATTCTTGGCACTTGTCGTCCAAACTCTGTTGCATTGCCCGAAGATTACGCTCCATATCAGTGATCTTCTTCTGGTATGAGTCGCCGTATCTCTCGCTTTGACAGCACTTATTCTCGTAGTCTTTGATCTGTCCCTCTCTGACCGCCAAATCCATTTGCAATGCAGTCAACTGTTGCTTCAAATACATGTTCTCCCTCTCCATTTCGGCCACTCTTTGCCTTACAATCAATTCTGTGATCCAAACNTATTCTCGTAGTCTTTGATCTGTCCCTCTCTGACCGCCAAATCCATTTGCAATGCAGTCAACTGTTGCTTCAAATACATGTTCTCCCTCTCCATTTCGGCCACTCTTTGCCTTACAATCAATTCTGTAATCCAAACAAATGTTAAATCATATACAATATAAAAGTTGAATGTATTTACGATTCTGTTTATGGACTTCAAACTTAAGCTCTTTGTTTCGCTTTCTCTGTTCCAAGCATTCAAGCCATTCGGGAAACACTTTATCGTCTTCGGGATCTTCGAGCTGTTCCGACAAAACACAACACATGATTATTGCAAACACGTATTAAATGTATTCAACAAAAACTTACGAAACAGTTGGGCAGTGGCGGACCGACCACATTGATGGCCGCCAAATCAACGGCTAGCATATTGTCCATCAGTTTTGGCATAGTTTGGAAATTGAATCGATTGACAGACTTAGAGACCAACACATCCTGAGAATGTTCGGCAAATTTCATCACATGCTATCAGAAACAACAAAATACCAAACATTTAGTTAACAAACATTTAAAATGTATAACAAATTGATAAAAAACAAACCACAGTTTCTTCGTAATTATCAGCCGATGGATTGACACATATAATCATCTTAACCTTCCCCTCGCCCTCGAAGTAACTCTTGAATAAATGCGTTAATTTGTTGTCACGATAGGGAACCACTTTATTGGAGCCATTCATTTGATTCTCTCTCAATATATCGATACAAGTTCTCAAACCCATCAGTGAGTTATTGATATTACCGGCCTCTCGGAGCCGATTGTCGGTGTTTTTGGTGCGATAGGTTCGCTCACTTCCGGCCAAATCAACGATTGACAGCTGACTAGAGCACTCCTTCGCCAGCAGAACTTAGTGAAGCCGAGGCAACCGTAGCTACCCGCGGACTTGGTGTGCTTACCACTTGTGCGATACCCTTGCCGAGCTGAGGCTCAACTCCAAACACACTCGGCATGCCGGACGGCGGACACCTTTGATGAACAGCTCGAACGCCTCGTCCGCGCTCTTCACCTCCACTTCAGTGCCGGCGTTCACAAACACCCGACGGCGCGCGTCTTCGCGCAACACTTTGGACTGCGGCTGACGAACCACTTTAAGATAATCGGTGCTCTCGTCCAACAGGTCGTAGATATAGTTGTTGTAAATCTCGACATACGATACGAATATAGCGTAATAGTTGTCGCGATTAATATCATTGATAAGCACCGACTCCTTCACGCGTTGATCCCATTCGTCGACGTTCTCACGCTTTCGGGTCGATCGGGGAGTCCTCGCGGAGGACGGAGTGCTGTTCACCACTGGAGTGGATCGCAGTATCATTTTCTCCCTCTGCTCTCTCTGTGCCTGAAGTATAGCGTCGGGCGTCGACTGAATCACAAAGTGATTACTGCCGTCCGGTTTGAACACATGTTTGCGGCTTTGGATCTGATTCTGGATCAGTGTATTGAAGAGTACGTCGAGAGCGCGCGGGAGTATCCCCGGCTCTGCGGGTGTGCCCGCTATGGTGTATGTCTTACCCGACGATGTGATGCCATAAGTGAAGAGAAGGCCTACAAAGAAGACAAACGGTTAATGAAAACGATTGCAAAACAGACAAAAAAAATGGTACCATTTTTGCCGTTCACCAAATCGGTGACCAAAGGGAACGCGATTTCGCCGAAGATCTCGTTCTGCGGTGTATTCTCGACGAAGACTTGTTTGAATTTATAGAAGAGGTCACCGCGGGATCCGTTGGCAGCCGTCAAACGGAGGAGAGTGTTGTTTGTGGGCACGCGATGGACGGCAACCAAATCGGCGTAATTGTCGAGAGGTCTGAGTCGGCAAAACACTTGGAC